GTTACTTTCTTATCAGTCTGACTGAGTTTCCGCTACGCGAAACGCCTTTGCTGGAAAACGCTTTCTTCGTCGAGTAGAATTTTTCTCGCGTGGTGATCACCCGCCTTTTACGCGGCGTCGTTTCCATTCGGCTCGCGTAAAATGCTTCGCCGTGTGGAAACGGCAAATGGCTCTGTGCAGAAGTACGAGGTAAGAAAAAAGGAAAAAGAAATTCTTGGACTGAGAGAAGCCTCGTATTGATATTTCGTCGGATTTGTCGCGGTGGAGCATCGAACGAAGAAACCGGTCGAGTGTATTCGATCGGTGGGCTTTTTTTCAATCGGACAGAATTTAGATAGTAGGCCGAGCCAGAAACGTAGCACGATTGTATTTATAGGCAGTTGCATTCTCAGCCTGATTTTTTCGACGCACCGGCAAAAGCCGCCTCGCCTAAGTCTCGAACTGTCCCTTTCCGTTCGTTACTTTTGCTTTCGCGGTTCACTTAACGATCCTTCTTAATGGCAGGTAATCATTCGAATCTCGTGAAAAATTGTGCTGCCCGATCAGAGTAATTTTCTAATTAATTCAACAGATCCGAGGAATTTTTCGATCGTTGTGTTTGTGGTGGAACAAGTTAATTCAACTGGAGTATCTATTTATACGTGTTATCTGTTTGTATATGTTCTTGTTTATCTGATAACTGTACGAAGGAATTCGAAGGTACGATGTTAGGAAAGTATCCGAAGAATTGTACATCGTGACAGGGAAAGTAAGTAATTTTTATGGTGAAATAAATGGTATGTTTTCAATTGAAATTCTAAAAGTTAAATTTCTAATTATATTTGTGAATGTACGAAGTAAGAAAATTTGAGCACATATTCTGTTGAATTTGTTGTATTCTTTTTTTGTATCGTACTTGTAAACGAACAAATTGGGAGAAATTCGGCGTGTGGAATTTAGTTACGTTTGAAATTTGAAAAGTTAGAAAATTCGGGTCAAAATGATACATTTTTACAAAAAAAAAAAAAAAAGGAGAAAAAGGTAAATTTTCTATACTGATAAGTATTGTATTATCGTCTGTACCTTTCTAACTCTGTTTCCTGCATGTTTACTTCTATTTGTATATAAAACAAATTTTCGAGTCACTTCAATTTCCACAAAAATTCTCACTTTTTCTCAAATCTGTCTACACAGCCACATTCGTCGTTCAAAAATACAAATTTCACTAATTTACACCATCCCTCTATCTCTAACAGATTTCGAGATATCGAGGTAACAAGTTTCGTGAGATATTGCACTAAACATGCGTACCCTCGACATCGCGAACGCTCATTCTCCCCTCCACCGTGGACGAATTCCAATGAAAAAAAATCCTGTCGAATATTTCTTTCAGCACTACAACATAGTAAAATTTCATCGAAATCGGTGATCATCACCTCGAGATATTCTCTAGTCAGCATATTTCATCAATACGTAACACCCACGGCAAGTTCCCTCAAAATTCACATTACAAACCAGCTAAAATAATTTATTCCTCTAAGAGCCCATTATATCCTCTGGAACTTACTCATCAAACGATCCTAACGGCCCGTGCAACATTCATCTCACAGGAAACATCTCATGTTGCTACGAGGTACGCACGTAGAGAACACGTGTATACACCAGACAAGACGTCATTGTTATCTCATTCTATTGACACTACGATCGCCGCTGCCGCCGCACAGCCTTCTTCTTCGCTGCTGCCTGAGCTGATGCTAGTTGCTGCGCCGCGGAAAGTTCGATTGTATCGACGCCGGCTTGGAAAATCACAAAAGGCCGTGTTACGAAATTTCAGCTTCCTCCATATGGAAGCTCGCCTCTATTAAATACGGAATGGCCAAGCCAACAATCCGTTCGATTTTCTGGTGAATGCAAATATTTGTACTCGGTCGGGCCTCTCTCCTTTCCGGTTTCAACACCGGTGCACGTGCGTGCGCAAGAAGAGGACCTCGCCGGCTTCCTGCCCGCGTCTACGGTGTATTTTTAAAAGCGAATCTTCGCCGCCTCTGGGCGACCTGCTAGAAATCTCCGGTTGTGTCTCGATTATTTCAGGAATACACAGAGAAACTCGCCGGTCGGACAGGGTTACGCGTTGATGAATTTTACTGGGGCTAATTGCGCACCGTCTGCAGAACATTAATCGTGGATCGTGGTTTGTGATCTCGTTATGGATGAAATTCCACTTCCTTCTGTTTGCGGGAAACGTTTCGAATTCTCGGGAAATTTTCGCGTCGAGTTGTTAGATTTTCTGTGATTGCGTTTGAAGGGTCCAGAGGAAAAATGATTATAGTTGGAAAAAGTAACATTTTTAGGATTTGAGAAAGAAATTTTTGGAACTGTACACTATACACAATCCGAAATGTAATATTCTTCTCTTTTATAATGGGTTTCAGAGTCTTTTTAAGAATTTTTCTAACCTAACCTTAAAAAGTCTGTTGACCAGTTTTGCGAAGGTAAAAACTTTTAATATTTGAGAAAGAAATTTTTGGACACAATTCAAAATTTAATATTCTTCTCCTTTATAATGGGTTTCAGAGTCTTTTTAAGAATTTTTCTAACCTAACCTTAAAAAGTCTGTTGACCAGTTTTGCGAAGGTAAAAACTTTTAATATTTGAGAAAGAAATTTTTGGACACAATTCAAAATTTAATATTCTTCTCCTTTATAATGGGTTTCAGAGTCTTTTTAAGAATTTTTCTAACCTAACCTTAAAAAGTCTGTTGACCAGTTTTGCGAAGGTAAAAACTTTTAATATTTGAGAAAGAAATTTTTGGACACAATTCAAAATTTAATATTCTTCTCCTTTATAATGGGTTTCAGAGTCTTTTTAAGAATTTTTCTAACCTAACCTTAAAAAGTCTGTTGACCAGTAAATTTTATGAAGGGAAAATTTGTTTTTACGTTCTGGAATTTGATATAAAGTTACTTTAATAAAATACAGTGTACTCTAAGAAAAAATCATTTTCATTAACCCTTTGAGGACTCATATACATATGCGTTCACAAAGCACTACAAACGCAACTAATAAACTTATATTTTTATTGCATAAAACTAGCTGGAGTGACCGTGCACTATATTTGAGGCAAGTGTAATTTTCATATAATTTAATTAAAAAAAAACTGAAGTAGCGATCTAATTATGTGTTACACAAGTAATCAGTACTTCGACTTGATACTTAGTCCGCAAAGGGTCAAAATTAATCCAGACTATAAAAAGAAATTTTACCTTAATAAAAATTACGAATGGAAGTGTTTATTACATAAACTCGTGCACACAAAGAAGGTAACTAACGAAGCTCGCAAAATAAGACTAAAAATAAATAAATGCAACAAATATTCTTACCAAATCGTTAATAATAAAATAAATTCCTTTCGTTTAATCGAAGAGAACGAAACAGCTGATATTTGATCCGGTAAAATAACGCCTCTTCCTCTAACTTTCTAATCACTAAGAATACACCGAGGATCCCTTGAACCTACTAATGTATTCTATCTGAGAGAACGAGGAAGCGTGCGTAGGGAGAGAAATGTTCCAGGAAAATCGGTTCAAAGAAATTCACTCAATTTGATTTCCCAGAGATACAATATCCTCCCTATGGCATTTACGTGACGCAGAAACGTTCAACTGAGGCGAAGCGCGTTGAATCTCGGTTACCGCCATTAGACTTTATCAGAGAGAATTACGTGTTCGAATCACGGATTAAAATTGATGAATCACAGCCTGTTATGGCTGCAACAACGTTATCTAGCAAACCGTTTACCGCCTCGATTTCTTTCTAGATACGGGCATCGACACGAATTCAATATCCAAGTGGCTTTCTAAGAGCATCCGTCGTCTTCCCTTTCTCGATACAGTTTCCCATCGAACGATACGTTCCAGCGAGAGCTTATATTTCACGAGTAGATTTTTATTTATGGTTACTTTTAAAAAGATCTCGACAGTATACGTATGAGTTTGCTTTTTTAGCGATTATTTTGGGTAATTATGGAAAGGTTAGGTTGTCGCTTTTTCGTTACGAAGTGTTGTTTGTTGTATTTTGAGGTTAGGTTCGGTTGGTTTGATGCATTTGTTCTTTAGGTAACATTGCCATAGGAATTAATCGAAATTATGTGTAATTATTGTGTTACACAAATATTTGGACACTTGGGGAAAATGGATATTTTGGATGTTTGTGTTATTTAACCCTTTCAATGCGGTAAATTTTAGTACGGTGCGCGTGGGAAGATGATAAATATTCAATCGCGGTAAAAACATCTTGAAATTTTCAAATTTACCGTTTCACAAATTAAGGTGGAAGTACGCAAAGGACAAAAAGATCAATTATTTCGTCGATTTATCGAGATTTTACTAATTCAATTTTCAATATTTCCATTACTTCTAAATCCAATATATTTCTTCATTGCAACAAATGTGTCGTGTAACTTTATTTATCAATAGACTTCGAATTTTTATGAAAATTTATATTTTCACGAATGTAATTAAAAAGATAGAAGCTTATAAATATAACGAGTACTACATTTTAGGTTTATTTATATATTTTTGCTTATTATGTGCATTTTTGTGTCTTCAAATTTTCCATAAATGCATAAAAATCCTCGGTCTAAATCACGACGTCGTAAAGGAAATGTCCATTTTAATCATGTGTGCAGTTTCACTTCGGCTACCTTTTCAAACTCATGCGCAATTCATCTTACCGTCTTAATCTCTTATTCCACTGTCCACACACGGCGAGAAAGAAAGTGCTACCAAAAATCAACATCCACTGTACGCCCACTTTAACAGCCATTAAAAGCCCAACAGTAACTCGTTTTAATTTACCTTCGAGCCACGCTTACACACACACACACACACGTGAATCACCGTTAGTATGGTCGAAAAGTGTACTTGGCCGTCGTAAAGTTGGACCGTTTACCGTGGCTAAACACACCACCGTTGGCGTTTTCAATTCGCAACTACATCCGGCAAGAGAGTACTTTGCCTTACCTTCGGGCAAAGGATGCAGGGTCACCGCCGTTGACAAACGTCCGCTTCCCATGGAAACGAGATGCGGCGCTTCCGTTTGCACTCGTAACGCTCGTCCAGCCTCGCGCACCTCAAGACCGGCGGTCGCCATGCCTGCACAAAAGAAATGGGGGAAAAAACAGATTAGAATTTTATCGAAGTTCGTCGTACGATCGTTGGCGGAATTCTTTTTTAAGTTATCTACTGTCTGCTTCGCGTGAGAGTAGATCATTTTATTTTTAGATTGTATCGAGGTCACGTCACCTTCGTTTCTTTAACCCTTTCACGACAGATTTTCCTTCTTTTTTTTTACTATCCACTTGTAGCGGATTTTAAGGTCATTTTCTATGACTCAGAGAAGTTTGGCAGAGTGGAGGCAACATGCTAGTTATCCGATAGAAGAGATCGAGTTTGATAAAGGGAACTGGGCGCCCCTTGACTCCGATTCTGTCGCCGCTACATTAGAAATCAATCCAAGTGATTATTGGATTGGTGAGTTGCAGAGTTTAACCAGTAGAGGTTCGCGCACGGGTAAAGGTGATGAAATGGTCACCAGCGCCTGTTCCGTCGCGCAGGTAAGGAACGCATGGGGTCTTCGTTGACCGGGGTTATGGCACGCTCGCACGAGAAGGTTATTTTTGAGAACAAAGACGCTTCGTGGCTTCGCGAAAAAATAAGTCATTTCTTACGGAACAATGCCTTTAGAATTTCGACTTTTCCGCGTCCTCGATAACGAAGACGTGTCATAAACCAGGTATTACTGAAGGGTCAATCCATACGTGCGTATAACAGCACTCTCGGCCGAGGGTTGACCTGGCGGGAATTTCCGACGCGTCACCGAAGGACAGCGAAGATTCCACGCACCCGCAGGTAGGGCTAAGGAAAAGAGCGCTAAGGGCGCGATGGAAGGGTGGGTGACACTCAAGGGGCACGTTGATTGGTAATTTGTGCGTACGTGAAAAACCAATCAGCGTGCCTTTTGGCACTTGGCGGGGGAGGCACTGCGGAGTCCAGAAAAATTCGGGAATCGAGCGACAGATTCAGAAAAGGTTCTATCGAGCGAACACCATTAGATCTCCAGCCGTTCGAGGAGACACAAGTACACTTCGAGTCGCGATCGAATACTCGAGTTTTCAAACGTCAATCGTTTCGTGACGCACTCTACGTTTTGCTACGTATCAGCGAAACAAATTTGAACTAGTTACCTAAGATTAATTTGGCGGGTAACAGTCGCGACCGCGAGCTTCCTTTTGAACATCACAGAAGAACGCGAAGCGACAGCGCCCATGTTACTAGAGGCACAGGTGTTAAACTTTACCGGAATACATCTGGGAGAATGGCCTCCTCCTGGCGTTCCTGACGGATGACAACTTCCGGGGGTGGCTGCCCGGCCAACCCCGAAAACGCCAAAAAACTGGAGGGGATGGAAGACAAGACTTCTGGGATATATAAGGCCCAAGCGAGGACCAGAGAGACATCAATCGCCAAGATGTGCCTCCTGAGAAAACAACCCTCGAAAAACGCAGCGCGCCTCCAGCACTTCCTTGCGATCTTGTTAACAACGTTCTGCACAACTAGAACGTTCTACACCAAACGTGGACGACAAAGTCATTTGCGCAAAAAGGACTCCGACGACAGGCGAGAAGTCCAAGCAGCACCACCCGGCCCGTCGTGAATCAACCCTAGGATGCAGCCAATGCGGGGAAACAGTGGCGGTGAACCGCAGAACCACAGACTGCGAGGACTGCAGGGAAGCGCTGCTACAGCAGCTACCGGAACCGGAGCAGCCCCCCAAACGTCCAAGACTGCGCCAGTCCGCGATGGAGGATCGAGAATTCCAGGAGATACTGGACGCAAACTGGTACACCAGATTCACGATCTTCGGCGCGGACAAGCACACCCTGTGCATGACCTGCGCCAAGGACCTGGAGCACCCGGACAAACACGACGAACACGAGTCAACCAGGACCCCAGCGACCGCCCCTTGCGATGGTTGTGGAGCAACCATCAACATAATACGGAGCGCACGAGAGTGCACCCTACGCCTAGCCAGGATGCTAACGCGGTATAGAGGTCATCGGGTACGGCGCTAACAGGGGACAGCGTTCAAGGGACCTACCACAATGAAAACGACCTTCCACCGACCCACCATTGGGGACGTCTGAGCGGAGGGATGACTGCATGGACGCCTCAGCCGACCAGACGGATACCCCCTAATAAAATTTAAGTTTTTCTTCTTCTCTTCTTTCCTTATACAGCCAATTTTATACTT